ACATAGTATGAGTCAATAGTATCCCTAGCGTTACTATCCTATAATTTTAGGGGTGACAAACAAGTAAGCTTGTGGAGGACAATTCAGGTTGCATTTTAAATTGGACAAATTTAAATCTATTCAAATAAAAAATAGGTTGAATTTGGGTGGGCTCACATAGATATGTGTTCGACCTGCTGACCATATAAAACTTGACTATCCAATTCTTTCACACGTATCCAAATATCATTTTTAACAATTAAGTTCATTGTAAATATCAAATAAAATCTTTATTAGTACTTAATAGAATTTCAAAGCAATTATCAAATAAAAGCTTTTTGCGAACTATTATTGTATAATCACAGGATAAAAAAAACTCCTTTTAAAAAAGATTTCATGAATTTGGAAAGAGAGTTAGTGGAAGGTTGAGCAAATTTTTATTGGGTGATTTTCTTCCTATATTAGCCTAACTAAGTTTCTTAATTGTGAACTCTGGCATTGACAACTCGCACAATAGGCTAGTGGTAAAAGATTTACTTTAGAATGTATATAGGAAATCATAAATGTATTGTTTCCCACCATTTTAATTAGTGTAAGGTAGGTTTGGATAAATATGAATTTTAAATTAATGAATTTAAGATTAAATAAATAAAAAAAATATTGGAAGAATATAAGTTAAGATACAAGTGATATATATTTTTGTAAGTAGGAAAAAAAATCCTTAATGTGATATCAAATAACTATTTTTATATGGTTATTTTAAATTCATAAGATTTGTCAATGTTCAATTTGATGGTCCTTTAGTAGCATTGCATACATAGTGGTGGTCTTCAAGCTTTTAAATTTATGTTATCAAAAGGTTATATCTCAAAATTAAATAATAATAATAAAAATAAACAAACCTGACTTATAAAAGTAATACATTTGATTGAGGAATTTGTTATTGTACTCTTGAACCACACCCAAACTAAGATCATCGTTTAAATTCTATCAATTTTGTTTCGAATACAAGTATATGTTTTTTTATTGCATTTTTTTTTTACATCTATCATAATAAGAGTAGGGTCATAATGTGAACCCTACTCTATTGTGAAGGAACGGTAGAAAAGATGATGAAAAAATTAGTATCTATAATCTTTTTGAAATTTTGTTTCCACATCATTTTCTTGGGCCTCACCTGAATTCGGGCTTGTGATTTGGACTCTGACCAGACCAGCACAAGGCCACTGTCCAGGCCCAATAAGGTTTATACCCAACTTGAGGGAGAGTACGTGATGAGAGTGGAGAGAGAGAGAGAGCAATTTATGCTACATATCTCTTAATTTATAATGATTAAATGATCTTTAATAATGTAATATTGAAATTAGGCTTCACATAATGAAATATTTGATAAATTAAAATTTGAACACATTATTAGGGATAATTTTTAGGAGTGATAAATTAGATATTTCAAGTATTTTTCTTTAACTTTTCATCCTTATAATAATTGTTGGACTAGATAATTATTTTAAAAAAATATAATATTGTTGTGGGGGGTTTTTATAATCAAATTTGTGTGACAAATTTATTCATATCAAATAAATTGTGTATTTTATATAATATAGTATAGACTTGTAGAGAAAAAGTAGAAGCTAGGAAAAAAACATGAAGTGAAAGATTTGTTTTGGTCTTGTTGAGTTAGGAAAACAAGAAGAAAAAAATTGAATAGGTGTTTGTTAAATATCAATTTTTTTTTTTTTTTTGTTTAAATGATATATATATAATAAATTTATTTCCCTTTTTTTTTCAAAATTTAAAATTCCAAACGTAAAATTAGAATATTTGTGAATTGAATGGAGTGGCAGTTTGATAGTAAATTATAAATAGGATCATATGTGGACCATTCACAAATTTCTGCCAAAACTCAGATGATTTACGAAATTGTTTTGCTTGTACTTTTTATGTGAGAATGATGATTGGAGTCATGCAACAACAAACACAATACATATTAGTGTTGGTAAAGAACCCTATTGTGATGTTTGATTATGAGCTTGTTGAAAGTTAAATTTTTATATTTATTTAAAATTAAAAAATTTGAAATTAATTTTCCAATAGAGATTTTTTTTTTAATATATATTTTTTTTAATTTCAAAAACACGCTTATAATCCAACGATTACAAGTGTTTCGATATAAAAACAATAATAATAATAAATTTGAAAATAGAGGATACGAAGATTTATTCATTTTAAGCCAACCCAGAAGGGCTTAGAGTTTGAGTCATTTAGGTTTTGATACCAAGTACATCAAATATTAATACTTTCTATTGGGGTACTTAAGCATGGTGTAATATTATTTATTCGTATGTGCCTTTTAACTTCTTCTGTAGACTATCTAAAAAAATTAAAGAGAACTTCATGTATAAACAACAATTCACAGCACCCCATGTTGAAATTTTCATTTTTTAAAAGCACTCTTCTCCAATTTATTTATTTATTATTGTTATTATTTATACAAGGAAAGTCACTTCATTGATATTTGCAATATAAGCCATAACCAAGACTTTGATTATTGGGTTAGGTAAGGATTAGGTTTATGTATCATAAATATCTTTAATCTTTCTTCATTCAAAAAAAAAAAAAAATTCCAAAACATCTTGAACCTTTTGATAAAGTTTATGTTCTTAGATAAAACTTACAGAAACAATAATATCTTACAAAACATGGGTCAAAAGGGAACATGTGGGATCAATCTTTTGTGAAACGTATTTTATCCTATGATTTTGTTCCATTTTAGTAACATTGTTGTTAATCGTTAAAATAATAAAAACAATATATAACAATTTATTTGGCATAATTTTCAATATGTATACAAATACTTTTAAAAGTATAAAAAGAAGATTGTTAATAACCCACACTCATAATGGTTATTTTTTCACAAGGTGACTAGGCCTAGGTACACAAAACTAGCTCATTTTGCCTTCTGTTACACTTTGCTGCATGCCTATAAATTAGGGCCTTGTTGCAGCTTAACAAATGACATGTCAATACTAACTAAAACTAATTTGGAATGAACATTAGCTTCATTCATTTTCTCTCTTTAATCTTTCTCGATAAATATTAACTTGGGCACAATCAATTCCATATGCATGGTGTAAGAATTTGTTATAATGTTAACAAAATGAATTAAGAAATTTGGGTATATCTCTTGCCCAAAATGTCCTACAAAAGAATCAGTTTATACTTGATTATGAGTTTCCTCTTTATATGTATGATGTATGCTATGTTAGGATCAAACACACCCAGAAAAATATCTCACACACACAGAGAACACAATATTTACGTGGTTCGGCCCAATGCCTACATCCACGGACAGAAAAGAGAATTTTCACTAAAATGAAGCAAAAATACAAATACAGAGGAGGAGATGAAACTCACTCAACTCACAGCTCTCACTCTCAATTTCTGATGATACAAACCCCTCCTCACTCATCTCAATTTATAACCAAGAGAGGAGGAGTAGGTGAAGTGCTAGCCATAATTGGCCAAGGTGGTGCCACCCCCACTATCTTCCATTAGTGAGTTAGTGTTGCCCTCCACCACCTTCTTGTACCACCTGGTGCCATCCACACTATGTGGATGGTGGGCTCCTTACCATGTGGGTAGTGGATGGAGCCAACATGCTACACCAATCTCTCAAAAGATATATTAATTGTAAAATCCTCTTTAATATTTCTGGCTTTAAAGTCTAGAAATAATTTAGATTTTGAAAATTGTTGTTGGTATTTTGAGTTTTCACAATCTTCCTTTGATTTTCTTGAAACAAATTATAAATTAATTTGACAAAAACAAATACTCTTGAATTTTCTTTGACAAAAACAAATATTCTTGAATTTTTTTTAAATGTTTTCCTCATAAACAAAGATAAAATCATATAAAAATAACACTTTGTTTAGTTTGGAATTTTCAAAATATTTTTTAAAGTTTTCAATTCGTATTTTTGTAATTTTTAAAAATATTTTAATCACTTTTTTTACTTTTTACATCAACTTAATCAATTTTATTCATTTTTTACGTTATCATAATCTACGAAGAAAAAAATATATATAATAAAAAAATTGAGTACCTAATAATCATGACTATACAATTTTACCACATTTATTATTTAAAAATTAGATGACAAGTATGATTTTAAAAATATATGTTTAATTTTTTTTTAAAAATGTAATAAAACTGTATAATTATATTTAAAACAAGTGTGAAACTCCTAAGGGTTGACCTAGTGATGTAAGTTTGAGACTTAAGAGTTTGCTCTTCTCTGAGTTTCAGATTCAAAACTTCTTAAGTATTGTCAATTCTTATGTTGTATCGGCTCATACGAAACTTTGCTCCCACTAGTACCCGGACACCCTAAATTATCAAAAAAATGTGTTTGGTTTGAGTTTTCTAGAATAAGTTTTTTGAAAACTGAGTTTTTTGGTTTTCATATTCTTTTATTTTTAGTGAAAAAATATTTTAAAAAATTAAAAAGTAAAAAATTTGTGAAAAAAATATTTTAAAAAATTAATAAATACATAGAAATATAAAAAATGTACTGAATTATTATATTTTTTTGTATTTTTGATAATTAGTGAATTTTTAAATGATTTTTTTTACAATTTTTTTACTTTTTAAGTGTATTTATGTTATGTGTGTCTAAAAAGTAAAAAAAATTACTTAAAATATTAAAAAAATTTAGTAAAAATTAAAAAATATGAAAAATAAAAAAATAAAATTTTCTGAAAAGTATTTTCTAAAAAATGAAAACAAACAATTCAGTAGGAATATTTAAAACATTTGAAGTGAATTACAAAATAGGCCTCTTAATGGACTTGAGTAGGACCTTATAACTTGTGCAAGTCCAAAGTTTGGGTCCAGCAAAAGGTGAATATTCCCATCTCAAATATGCCACGTATGCAGCACACCTTTGGTTCAGGTACACCTGATGCACAGAATAAAAATTTTCTTACTCCTTGTCAATTTTTTTTTAAAAAAAACATAGGCTGCTACTCGAGCACAGTTATCGCGAGTCTCTCTCTCTCTCTCTCTCTCTCTCTCTCTCTTCGCCTTTGAAGCACAGAAAGTCTCTTCAATGGCTTCTCTACTGAACACAGTCTCATCCATACGATTATCGAATGCCAAGACTAATCGACTTCGAACTCGAACTGTTCCACCTCCAATTTCTCTTTCTCTCACTCGTAAGCTCACTCAAATCACTTCCATTACGAACAATTTGTATATAATCATATGTGTATATGTATATTATTATGTGTATATGTAATATGTGTAATTGTTCTTAGGTCGGAGATTGACGGTGAGAGCGACGGAGACTGATGCGAATGAAGGTAAAATGGAATTTGTGTTTTTGTTGTTTTGAGTTCAAATAGGAGAGGTTAAGTGGGGATATTTTTTTCTTAGGGTTTTTGGTTGTTGATTTGTGTAGCAGTCAAAGCTGAGGCACCAGATAAGGCACCTGTGGCAAGTGGTTCGAGTTTCAATCAGCTTCTGGGTATCAAAGGAGCCAAGCAAGAGACGGTCAGTCATCAATGTCCGTTTCATTTGTAATTTGTAATTTGTAATTTTTTTTGTTAATTAAGAACAGTATGACAATCTCCAAACTTTACTCAAATTTAAGTGAAACTTTATTTGATATGTGACAAACTCAGATTTAAACATAAATTTGAGTAAAAGCTTTTTTTTTTTTTTAGATAGAAAATTTGAGTAAAAGCTTTGGTAATGGTAGAGTTGTAAATTTGAAATCTACAAAATGGTCTCAAATTGAGGAAACATTTGATTCTCCCTTGATTTGGGTGGAAAAGTAGGTAAAAGTCAATTCGATACAAGCCAGTGAAGGAGTGGAGATGTTTTTATGTGATTTTTACTTGAATTTAAATGTGATATAATTTTTTATTCAAAGGGTTGGATATGCCCTCATATGAATCATTCCAACGGACAAACTCGAATTTAAGCTTAAATTTTTACTTAAAATACAAGTTTAAGTGAAGGAGTGGATATGTTTTTGTGTGATTTTTACTTGAATTTAAATTTGATATAATTTTTAATTCAAAGGGTTGGATATACCCTGATATGAAGCATTCCAATGGACAGACTCGGATTTAACCATAAACTTGAGAAAGTTTCGTGATAAATTTAAAAGCCACAAAATAGCCATGTACACATTTGAGTCTCCCTAGATCCGAGTTAAAAAAGAGAAAAAAATAAATAAAATAAAATAAAATAAACTCATTTTGGTAAGAGTCTGAGTAAAGGAGTGGAGAGAATTGGAGGCTCAAATTTAAATTAGATATGGGTAAAGGGTAAAAGGGCTGGAGTATGGGTTTTTTTTTTGGGGGTAGGGTTATTTGGCATTCACTAAAATAGCACACTTTTTATTTTTTTATCTTTTTTGAATCACATCACCTCTCTACTTTTTTGCACATTTTTTCGTAAAAAGTTAAAAAATATACTTATTTAGATCATCCCAAATAACTGAGGTTGTTTGGAATATGCTATATAAGTGCACTTTTTAACTTTTTGGCTAAAAAAGTAGAGAAAAAAATATGTATGTTTGAGATAACTTTTTGACTTTTTACAAAAGATGTGTACTAAAATATTGTAGTAAAATCAAAATGACCATTCTATCCTTTTTGACTTTTAACTTTTTGATAGTTGAATTCAAAAGGTAAAATAATAATTTTGCCCTCTAGGCTTGCCCCATAAGCTTTGCCCAAATAGTATGGACTTTTTGACTTTTTTAGTAATTTTTTGACTTTTTAGCTTTTGTAAGTTATCCCAAACGAAAGTATAATATGGTTTCAATACACATTTATACACACATGTTGTGGAAGTTTAGCAGAAATTACATGAAATTGTTATAAAGCAATTGTTGTGCTATAGGAAGCACAGGTACAAATATGAGACACAGGTATGATATGATGTGGACACAACCACAACAATTTTCAAAAAATAAGGACAATGGACAAGCAGTGAATGAAAGTTTCAAATTATGTTCAAAGATTCACTTTACTGTTATTGTCTTCTGCAGGATAAATGGAAGATTCGTCTTCAGCTTACAAAACCTGTTACTTGGCCTCCATTGGTTTGGGGAGTGGTTTGTGGAGCTGCTGCTTCTGGTACCCCTCTTTGCATTGACACTGATAGAACTTTGGCATAAATTTGTACTTGTTTACATTGATCCTATACAAAGTCAATTAAAATTTATAAATATGACTATAATTTTCTTGCATTTGCATTTTATAGTTCATCATTAGTACCAATTCTCTTAAAACCCAACTTCTTCATATCAACATTTAATTACAGCCACTTTGGATTAACAATTTCTGTACTTTGATTGCCAAGGAACAGACACTGGACAAATAAAGTCCGGGAATTGGCATTCCATTGCTATCATTTTATATGTATATGATTACAATTATCTACGCTCCCAATGTGCCTACCTAAAAGATCTGTAACTTGTACAAATCTTTCCATTGTTCCAGTCGTTCCGATTCATGTGTTTGTTATTTAAGTCGTTCACAAAAATATTGATGGAGGAGCGTCTCTTCAACTCCTCGGTATGGGGACATCTAGACATTTTAGGATATCCAAAACTCTTGAAAAACTTATCTCTTTGAGCTTTATGGATGGCTTTCTTAACAGATTTGCTTAAAGAATCTTATTACTTGCCCGATGCTCGCTGTTTCTGTTATTCACTTCTGACTAGTTCCATTCACATTGCAGGAAACTTCCATTGGACTTTGGATGATGTTGCCAAATCAATTGTTTGTATGCTAATGTCTGGCCCCTGTCTTACAGGCTATACACAGGTGCATATCTCATGAATGTAAATTTGGTGTTTGTTCCCACTAGAATGACTGCTTTGAAATTCAGAGTACGTAAAATTTGTGTGTTCTCTCCTTTCTAGACACTCAATGATTGGTATGATAGAGAGATTGATGCTATTAATGAACCTTATCGGCCTATTCCTTCAGGAGCAATATCTGAGAATGAGGTATATAATGATATTAATTTCTTTTTTTCTTACACACACTAGATCCCCCCCCCCTCCTTTTTAAAAAATTTTTAAACTATTTCCCTCAGGTAATTACCCAAATCTGGGTGCTGCTTTTAGGAGGCCTTGGTTTGGCTGGTTTATTGGATGTGTGGGTATGTCTTCTATCCATTTTTCTTCCCATAAAAGTTTTTAAGATGAATGTCAGCCCCTAATGCTTGTGCTTTATAGGCAGGGCATGACTTCCCTACAATATTTTACCTTGCTATAGGTGGATCCCTGCTATCTTATATATACTCAGCTCCACCTTTAAAGGTAATTCCCTATTTCCATTTCATTTTAATACTAGGGAATTTGATTGAACACTAACTATGAGGCTCATGTTCTTGCAGCTCAAACAGAATGGATGGCTTGGTAATTTTGCTCTAGGAGCAAGCTATATTAGTTTGCCATGGTATGTCATCTTGTATTTACCCACTCTTAACATGAACTGGTTGGAAAAGAGACAATATGCTTATAAATGCAACCTTTCTCAAGCATTATACCAACTTAATTTATTTTTCTATATTTTTTTATAACCAAACTATTTTAGTTGGTTTTTTAACTTTTTATGAAAAGATGTGCAGAAAAATTGAGAGAATAGTTGACTTTTCGATAGTAACATTTTGGCTTTCTGGTTAAAATAGTCTATTGCCAAACTTGCCCGAGTTTATTTTTGTACAACAATAATAGCAAAGCTTTGTCTCAATGAAATTTCTATACAAGGTTATATTTTGCAGATTGGATAGTTATTATGGTTTGATCATCAATGCAATCAGAACTTTATTCAGTAGGAAACTATAAAAAGGGGTGGGTTCAAAATCTTCCCATGGTATTATGTCATACGTGCATAAGTATGCATTTGAAATATATGTTCTGTGGCACCAGACAAAGTTTTCATGTGTTAAATTTGTAATTTTTTTTTACTGGGTTATTCTATTGAGTGCAATAAGTCTAATATGATTCTTGGCTTCATTGCATAACAATATAACATGCCATGCCATGCCATGCTTTGTTCTTGTTTTTTTTTTAACTACAGGTGGGCTGGTCAAGCTTTGTTTGGAACCCTTACACCTGACATAATTGTTCTCACACTCTTGTACAGCATAGCTGGGGTATGTATTTCATAGAAAAATCTTACCATAGATTTAACATGACATGAACCAGTTGATACTAATTAACTTTGCTCTTTGATGTTTTAGCTGGGCATTGCCATCGTAAATGACTTTAAAAGTGTTGAAGGAGACAGAGCACTTGGACTTCAGGTTTATTCTATTCTTTTCAAATGTTTCTGTGAATCTTTTGCTATATTTAAATAAATTGTCATGTCTCTAGAATTTGTTGTAACCTTTGTACGGAAATATTATCTGAGCAGTCACTTCCTGTGGCTTTTGGTTCGGAGACTGCTAAATGGATTTGCGTTGGAGCTATTGATGTTACTCAGCTATCTGTGGCTGGTATGTTAAAGAAGTATTATTGTTGTTATTTACTATTATTTGTTATTGCTAGGACCCTTATCAATATCAAGTTACTGATATTGTACTCTTGTCACACACAAAAAGTTGCTGATATTGTATCAAACTCAATGCCTTAATAGCCTTAATATTAGTGCCACCGACATCATATTAGTATCTCAAGAGGAGTTCTCTACTATAATATTTATTAGTAGAAGTCAGGAAGCAAGGTGGTAGTTAGGTTGTATTTGGATTGATGGATCTAAAAAGACATTCAGAGGTTCAAATCCTTGACAAGTTAAATAACATTAAAAGACATCATTAACGAATGCCAGTCATGTATGAAAGATCCTTCTAGCCCTATACACCTCCGTGTGTATAAAAAAAATCTATGAAGTCAAGGAGTATGGAATATGAGCATGGTTGAGTTTGGACCTTCTGTATATACAAAACGATAGCAACCGGCATGCAAGCTGTGTGGTTTTAACCCATCTGAGTCCCTAATCCCTTTACTGAAACTGTCTTTGATAACAGCATGTTCCATTGGCCGTCAACATTCATGTGTTGCATTTAGTGACGACTTATGACAGTTAAAATGAGACGGTCATGACCTAAGAAGTACGGACACTTCTAAGAAGGTGACGTATCTGTGTCGTGGCCGTATCGGACACCAACACTCTTTAGACACTCTTAGGACACGTGTCTGACATTCTTGAAAACGTGTCCTATTTTTAAAATTTTTTAAAGACCCGGATACTCTTTGGACACTTGGAGCACATACATGTCAATTGCTTAAACACACATGTCTATCGATTAGACACATATGAAACTAATTATAAATTTGAACAAAACAACTTAAGATACAATAATAATACAAAACTCATATAAATCTATAGGAATTAGTGTCATGTTACATTTTTTATTATCTTTGAGTGATATATTTATATATATAATATATAATAAATATATAAAATTATATATTTCATGCGTGTCTCCCATGTGTCGTGTCTTGCATTTTTTGAAAATTCACGTGTCAGCTTGTCCTTATCGTGTCACGTGTCCGTGTCCATACTTCTTAGAGTTATGACTTATAGTGAGTGATCATATGCCTGATCCTTTTTCAAAAGTGAAAATCCAACCTGAGCTCTCAAATTTGTGTTAATTTGACACTACACATCTTTTTGCTTCAATCTCAAATGTCAAAACCTTAATGAGAACTCTTTCTATCCCATTTTATTTGTCTGTCTTTTCATTTTCGACATTCTCATTTAATATGTCAATGCCTTAAAAATAAATAAAAAAAATCTCATCATCTTCCAATATTATGCTTCGTTATTTTAAGTACATCCCCAATTCCTAAAAAGCTATTTGAATGGGATAAAAGGGTATTTTTCATAAAATTTCTATTTAAAGAGAAATGCTATGTATCACAGATTATTTCACTCTTTTTATCACCTCCTACATGATACTTATGATTTAGTTCCTTTGTTTGAAGATAATTATTAAGAAATTAATATAAACAAATGATGTCTTGTCTTTTCAGTCGGTGATATAAAAGGGTGAAATGAACAGGTGATATAGAGCAGTCTCCTCCTTCAAAAAGTGCTTCCTTAAACCGCGGGCATAATCAACAATGCCACAAAAAATGGGATGGTGAGAGTGAAAGGAGTGACTATAACTTAAGTGGACTAAAACGATAGAAAGAGTGAAAGGAGTGACTATAACTTAAGTGGACTAAAATCAACTAGAATTGCCAAAGTTCTAAGAAAACTTTCGACAACTTAGGTTAGGGAACTTCCTCCCATTTTTAACTAGTAACAGAGAACTTGAGATGCAAAAGCTTGTTGCGGATCCTTGTTTTTCAGTTCACCTGGCCCATTGAAGATCATACATTGTGCTCTGTGGATTATAATCATCCAATGTTGGATTTACTTGTGAAGTTGCTTATTTTGATTAGCGTTTCTTTCTTATTGCAGGTTATCTTCTAGGGGCTGGTAAACCGTTTTACGCCCTAGCCCTTCTTGGTTTAATACTTCCACAAGTCTTTTTCCAGGTAAATAATATCTCTGAAGAACTGACCATGTCATTGCTTTTGGTACATTACACCCTAGTAAAATAGGATAAACCTTCCGAAATGGTTAATTTAAGAGGCTTATTTGGCAAAGCTTTTTTTTCAAATTAATTCTAGTGGATTTTTTTGTCTGATCATTGTAACAAAAGCATTCAATTGTTAGTGTTCTTAGCTTGTTTTCAAAAATAAGGGAAAATATCATAACTAAAAAATGAAAAAACCAATCACAAATCAATATTGGACACAGTTGTTGCTCGTTTGGAGACACATTTTTCACTTGCACTCTATTGATTTGCATTTAATTTCTCCATTTCTTATTAAATAGTAGTACACAAACAAACAAACAAAAATTTAAACTTCTCTTCTAAATAAATGTAACTCATATACTGGTATTTTATTGGATCTTATTTTAAATACTAATGTTTTATTAAAGACTACTTTGAGTTTCTAAGGTCTGTGCTTCAACATGTCATGCACTCTTGCAGTTCAAGTACTTCCTCAAAGACCCGGTCAAATACGATGTCAAATACCAGGTATCTATTTCCTTTCCCAATATGATGGTCTTAGATTACTACAAGTCTGCTTTGAAGTGTTGGACCATTGTAAGAGAGGAGAGAGCGTAGACCTTATCTGTCTCTCTACTAGGCATTTGAACTGGTTTTGATCTCTAATTTCAGGCTAGTGCCCAACCATTTCTTATACTTGGCCTTTTGGTGACTGCTTTGGCAACTAGCCATTGATCATCACAAGTATACCGTGCCGAAGCCAAAAGAAGAGAATACTAAAAATGTGCAGCAACAATTGACAGGCCGACAAACAGCTTCTGCCACACATTTTAAGGTTAGACCAAAGTTTTCCCCCATCCCATTTCATGATGTTCAACACAAGTTCAACCTAGGCAGGTCACCTCTTTTTTTCCTTCTTTCTACGAGTGTTAAACTAAAAAGTGAACTTGATTGTTGTAAAAAGTTCATTTGTGAGTCAGAATTTGTATTTTTGCTTACTGTATTCTATTTCAATTAAAAATTGAAAGACTCCTCTTGTTAACTAGGTTACGTTATTAGTAACAATTTTTTAAGACAGTTTGAATCTTGAATAAATTAAAAGAAAAGGTTGCATAAAAACTTTTTAAAAAATAAATCATAAATACCTTCATAGAGAGAGTCCATGACATTCAATGCACATATAAGATTCAAGAAGCCCTCGAGTGAATTAAACCTTAGGTTAATTTATTGGTGTGGTTCACAAACTTTAAACAAACCAACCTCCTCTAACAAACAAACTATACACAAACCTTCTCTATCTCACAAACTCTACAGAAAAGAACACAACAAAATAAACAAACTATACAACCTCTTCAAACTCTACCACAATTACTAGGACTACTACCATTACTACAAAGCAAGTTGTACGACTACTACTACATATTCGCTCTAGGGAACTATAACCACACTTATAAAAACATGATCATCTAGTGATTTCTTGTCTTGAATTTGGATTCATGGATCTCAATCCCTTCCTCTTCCGCTCACTCTCCTCCAGACTTGTCAGTGGTGCTCAGCCTGCCTTTACAACCTATCTCCTGATACCCTTCTGTACCCATTTGCTCTTTCCTAGACTGCCCTTCACGGTGCCCTAATTCCTGGTACCCTTTTGATCCTAGCTGCTCTTTCCTAGTCTGCCCTCCGCAGTGCCCCAATTCTTCATACCCTTCTTTCCCCAGCTGTTCCTTCCTAGTTTGCCCTCCTTTGCTTTTCCCTTCAACCATCAAACCAAGCAAAAGGTCAAGTCCATAACCTCAATTAAAATGATTATCTCAAAATCCTCGTGTATCATTGCACTTTCAATGTCACAATTGCACCTCAAGAATTTTGTGTTTCAAAATTTTCAACACATGATGGGTGCATGAAGACTTGTCGAAGACAAAATGATGTAGAAGTGTACTTTTTTTTACCCATTTTTGGAATCATTTTTGAGACCTTTTATAGGAAGACATGAGAGAAAGTTGCCCTCAATTTTTGTTTATAAATTGCCGCATCATAAAAACACACTTATATTTGTTATTTTTTTGAAAAAATAAAATTGGTGGATATATTAGAAATTTTATCTCTAGTGAGAACACCTGTAAATCACTCTAAAAAATATTGTTAGATATCCCACATTTGAATTTTTTTTTAAGGGCAAATCACACCAAATGGCAGCCAAATATAATCTCGAAAATATTAATAATAAAAATGATAAACTTTACGATGAATTCATAATTTTTTTTTTTTTGACACCACTAAATAGTAATATCTCCTTTTTTTAATACCATCCCTTACTTCTACCCTCAGCCACCACTAACAGCTCTCACTGCCACCCCTGCCTCTCCCAGCCTTTCTCTACCCGACCCTTCTCCCCCACAACCCTTACCCACCTCACAGTCGCCACCCCCACCTAGGGCCGACCCTGGGCTAAGGCCAGTGAAACCTGTGCCTAAGGCCCAAAAAAATAAGCCCAAAAAAAGGCTCCCAAATTCATTATCTTGTACTATATCAAAAAGGAAAAATTACTCATAAATCCCATATTGAAAAATGTTACTCCATCTAGTCCTAAATGTTTTCTTATAAATCATTTAGTCCTTTTTTTACATCACAACATCATCATCAAAATAAACATCATCATCAAAACAACATCAAACATCACAACATCTCAATCAATGGGTTTTCATCTCTTCGCTTTCTGAGTTCTAGGGTTTTGTGACATCCCTTGGAACTTTCTTGATCCAATGGAGGAAGACAACAGCGTGAGGATGAAGGGGGTTCTGAAGTGGTTCAGTGACCAAAAGGGTTTCGGTTTCATCACCCCCGACGACGGCGGCGAAGATCTTTTTGTCCACCAGTCCTCCATCAAATCCGACGGCATTCGCATCCTCGGCGACGGTGAGGCCGTCAAGTTCGTCATCGATTCAGGCGACGACGGCTGCACCAAAGCCGTTGATGTTACCGGCCCCAACGGCGCTCCCGTTCAGGGCACTACCCGCAGAGGAGGCGGAGGAATCTAACTCTCTCATCAAAACCTTACTCTACAATGTCAGCATCTTCTCAATCAATTCCCTCTTAATCCCGTACGGGTTCGATCTGATGGCCTCCGAGACTCAACCCCCGTTGGGTCTTAACATCACCAAAGCCCTAATCTGATGATGATGTTTGATCAAAAAAAAATGTTTAATCGTTATTTTGATGTTTGATGTTATTTTAATCGTTATTTTGATGTTTAATCGTTACTAAAAAAATTGTTTAATCGTTATTTTGATATTGTTTTGATAATGATGTTGTGATGTTTGATGCTATTTTGATGATAATGTTTGATGTTGTTTGATGATTGTGATGTTTGATGTTTGTTTTGATGATGATGATGTTTGATGTTCACAATACCACTAAGGGAAAACAAACATTTACTGAGTAAAGGTTTTGGGCATTTCAGTCAATACCACGTTGGGATTTTCCTCATTTACCCTTACTAAAAAGCACAAAACATAGTGTAACACTGGTTATTTTGTCATTAACATTAACTTGGGACTAATTGGATCACAAGATAAAATGTAGGACCAAATGGGTCATAAGATAAAGATTTGGGATTTATTGGTGCATGGCCCAATCAAAAATTCAAAATGACCCAATTTTGTTTAATTAATTTAGGCCATTTTAAAATGCCTCTATTTGGTCCAATTGATAAAAGGCCCCGTTAAAAAATATTTATAAGTGTTAATTGTTAGCCCAATTAAAAAAATAAAATATAAAATATATGTATATGTCTGTGGAGGCTTTTTTTTTCTGTCTTTTTATGGCCCAATTATATGTTATTTAGTGGTTTTTTAAATATTTTACGCAATTTTGTTTATTTATTTTGTAGATATATCTAATTTAGACACACTTTTTTTAAAAAAAAAAAAAAAAAGTTGCCAAATACAAAAAAATATAAAAAAAATATGAATTGCAAACTCAGATAATTATTTTTGAAAATTCTAAGTCAAATTGAGTGATTTTTTATTTTTATTTTTTATAATCTAAAAGACTCCCAAAAAATTATTTTGCCGTACGTTCGCGAAAACTCAGGACTGGCTCTGCCCCCACCCTTTCCATCCTGTCCCTTCTTCTTGCGGCTCTCTCCCCACCTTGCACCTCTCTCTCTGCCTGCTGGTGATGAGTGGTGGGGGTTAGGGTTTGAGAGGGAGGTGGCAGAAAGTGGTTCGGCAGAGGTGGTAAATGGTGGCTGGGATAGTGGGGATATGGTTAGAATTAATTAGAGTGTTCAAAAAAAAAAGACAAAAATAGAAAGTTTAATTTTGGAATGAAATGGGATGTGCAACAAATTTTACAGTTGAATGTAGAGGCAAATAAAGGCCTCGTTTGGGAAGTAGTTATTTTAGTAGACTATTTGATTTTTTAACTAGTTTAGTAAGTTATTTTAGTTTTTCTGTTTGGGAAGATGAGATGGATTTTATTTGAGTTGTTGTATTAAAAAATGTGTTGAAATGATGTTTGAAATTAAAATGATAAATTTGTCCCTAAAAAAATATTTTTTTAAATTGCTATCAAGGGGTAAAATCGTAAAATGTTCATTGATGGAACAATTTCTCTAGCTGACAGTGTAGGCTGTGTGCAGTCCTATATATATATATATATATATTTTTTAAAAAGCTTGCAAAAGTGGCTTTTTGGCTAAAAAAATTTTTTAGGCTATAATAACCTCTTTAGGCACTTTCCAAACAGCGCCAAAATAACAAGTGCGTAGCCTTTTCTCTTCTAAGTTGCCAAACAATGTGTTAAAGAGTCTCATATATATATATAGAGAGAGAGAGAGAGAGAGAGAGGAGTGTGAACCTTGATCAAGATGCTCCTGAGCTTCGAGGCTCTTGCCACAAGTGCCAAATGGAGATATATATATATATATACAGATAGCTATATGTATGTAGAATAGTGTAAGTTGAGAGAGAGAGGGGACACGAAAGGGGTAGACGCGGCAAGTGGAAGATCAAAGGAGGCGTTGTTTTGATGACAGAGAGGTGCTTAATCTTGAAACGGTGTGTGCTCAACATCCAGACTTGTAAAACAACATGGAAATTCATTTTGGAAATAAAGAATTGCGCAAATTACTATAAAAAATAAAAAATAAAAATAAATAAAAAAAAGGGTTTGAACTATGTAGCAAAATAAATTTTGAGTTTTTAGTTTTAAAATTTATTTTGTTACAAGAATTAAATTTTAGCCGCTTTTTATTTTTATAATTGTCCCTAAAGAATTTTATCGTGGGTAAGATGAAGAAGACATGTGGAATATGTTAATTGGGTGATTGGGGTCTTTGATATATATATATTTTTATGATCAGAGTTTATACGCATATCGATTAATTTTGAAATTTACGTAAAAAGCTCTCTCTACAAACATAAATCGGACAAATCTTTAACAGAGTTTACTGACATAATTCCTAAGAATTGATAATACTTAATGAGAGTTTAAATTGAGACTTAGAAGGTACAAACCTCCACTGCTCCAAGCTACCTCCACTAAACCAACCTCTTGGAGTTGGGTCTTTGATCATTGTTTTTAGGGTAAATTACAGTTACCTCCCCTGAGGTTTCTGACAAATACAGGGACCTCTCCTGTGGTTTGAATAATTACAGTAACCTCTCCTACTTTACCTGACAATGTCAAGATTCCCTCATTCTGTCTATTTTGCACAAACGACGTTAGTATTTTATATAAAATGACCATATTACCCTTGCTTGTACCTGCAAAAAGACGAAAAACCCTTTTCTTCAAGACAAACATCACTGCCATAAAGTAAAAGACAAAAAAACCTTTTGCTTTGACCAACACAACCATAAAATAAAATAATTTAAAAATATTTATATTAAAAATGACACATTTAAAATAAAAAATAATTTTTTAAAAAAAATTTAATATTTAAAAAATATATTTAAAATATTAAAAAATACAACACATAAATGTATGAAATATAATGCACATTAAAATAAATAAAAAATATTTAAACTATAAAATATTTACCCTAAAAAAATAAATTCGAAAAATTTCAAAAC